GAGATTATGACATAAAATTATCAGGTAGCGAAATGACCTGGTAGTGAAATACCCTAGTAACGAAAAGACCGGTAGCAAAATCTTCGGGAACAAATGTTCAGTAGCAAACTATCTGATCACCCACACTGGGGACCTATACAAGTGTGGGCTGCATCTCAACCAATAATGTTTCAGATCTTAAAATCTTCATGAACAAATGTTCAGTAGCGAACTGTCCGATCACCCACACTGGGGACCTATACAAGTGTGGGCTGCATCTCAACCAATAATGTTTCAGATCTTTGCAAAAATTGATGGCACCCTGAATGCTGACAGTTAAAAGAATATTCTTATTTGCCATATCATTCCCCCAGAAACAAGACCTACTAGGCAAGGATTCATCTTCCAGAACAGTGCTGCTAAACATACACCAAATATGATGAAATGATACTTGGAAGCTAAACAGGATGATTGAACACTCACAGTTACGATAAAATACTTGTATGAATATTATTAAAGCAGCCACACAATTGTGTGAAGTAATTAGGACATTTGGAACAATGTATCACAACTATGCATTGCTAAACTTGTGTGAGCATGAAAATAAGGATAAATATAATATTTACCTGCAATTGCTCATTGTATGCAAATCATGTGTTTCTTGAAATTATTTACTATAGGTTAAATTTTAAAACAGTAACGTAAGTAACCACTTAATTTGAAGTAATTGAAACTTATTTTGGAGTTCTGATCCAAATGAAACCTTTCTTTAGTGTGACTCACATCTGGACTCACTTAAGTAACTACTTAATTTGAAGTAATTGAAACTTATTTTGGAGTTCTGATCCAAATGAAACCTTTCTTTAGTAAGACTCACTAAAAACTTCATTCTTTGCATGCTCTACACTGTTGATTTCTTGAAATTTAGTTAATATTTGTGTGAAAAAAAAATTCCATGATATTCATGCCTGTAGATGATTTTTTAATATATCATTACAAAGAATATTCGACAAATATATCTATAAAATTATTAATTTTTAAAATATTAGTATGTCATGCTGCTATTCTATGCTGTGTGAATTATAAATATTTATTCTGTAAACGGAATTGCAGGTACGAATTGAAGTCCAGTCAGCCAGGGCTCATCCAGCAACTCTGAGTTTCCAGCTAATAGACTGCAAATCTCAGATTTCGAATATGGAAAGGTACTCGGAGAAACCATGTCAAAACAGCCAGTTGGTGGAGGTAAATTTGGGTGTATTTTAATTTTGTTTTGTACAAATGTTTCTTTTTAAAAACTGAAGTATGTTTAAATATGTCTAACACGTTGACATTGTAGTGCCCAAAATTTTTGACCAAGTTGTAATCTGATGGTGAGAAAATGCACATTCTAGAGTGACATTGCTGGGGAGAAGGTTTGGCTACTGCTTGTTTCCAGACTTTGATATTATCATATTTGGGTGAGAAAGTGTGAAATGTTATTAAAAGATATTACCATAATGACTCACTTAGGCTTTTATGAAATTGTATATCATCATTTCAGTAACTTACTATTTCAATAAACCCATTTCCCTGTTTTAACTTAATTTCTAACATAACATATTGTTTGTAACACAAAGACTTCTTGTTATTAAAATGTTTTATATTTATGTGTTAAAAATTTTGTTGAAAACTTTTAAAGTTTGATTTAATATATATATTTTTTAGTGTTTTTTATTAAAACTTTTGTTAACAATGGATTTTGCATTTACTTTCAAACATTTTAAGCTGAAATATATTTTGAAGCTCAGAAGCTATCCAATAAGTTAAAAAAAATGTTTTATTTCTACAGTTATTATGAAGTATGATAACTCAGTGTATCCAGTTAAACAAGTCTTTTAGAACAAAATGTTCAGCTGTGTAAATGTAATTTTATAGGAAGTGATTTCAAGTATAGTAGTGAAGGAAGAAAAACCGGTTGAGCAACAAGTGAAAAGTCAAGAAACCTACAAACAAACAAGTTTGTATAGTCTCTTTCAGAAGCTTAAAGACATGTCTCTTCAACCTGTTAATATTTCCTGTACCTCATCAGAATAATGGATTTCTTTCCTGGATTAAGACTTGCAGCTATGCAATAGTCAATGTGCCTTTAGTTAAATATCACGAGCCATAATAAAAGAAAGGAAGTTAAAACGAAATTTTGAAGCAGCATTAGTCATCCTTGAATTGACAGTCTTTTTTATGTAAAAAAAAATGTCATCTTACATGTTTTGGTACTTCACAGACTGAGTACACTTTCCACATAGCATATTGCTTTGCAACACAAAGACTTCTTGTTCTTGACAGTAATGTTTTATACTTAAGTGTTAAAAAATTTATAGAAAAACTTTGATTTAAGAATTTCTTTTTTTTTTCATTTTTATTTTGTTGTTTTTTATTAACACTTTTGTCTTCAAATAATACAGATGTTAGGAGAATGAGAACCCCCAAAATGGTTTAACAGCTACAGTTGTTTTATACCGAACGTGTTATAATTATAGCTGATGTTTTAAAGAGGGGTCAAGAGTCTTCATTACCATGCATTTAAAAAAAATTCAGGAAAGGTTAAACACCCACAGTGTGAGGTTGTTACTTCTACTGAAGTCAGCTTAATAGATAACCACTCTATAGGGAGTTTTTAATATACTTTATTGACTTTTATATGTCAATGTGTGTCTGTAGTGTTATAACTGTTATAGATATATGCATGAAAGTCCAACAGACTACTTGGTTATTGTATGCACCTTTATGTGTATCTGGTAGGTAGTAAAATATCAATACATTATAGATTCAGGTTGCCATTTAGTTTCCCACATTGATTATATGTGCTCATCTTTCAGGCAGTTTTATGATGTTCAACTATGCATTGCATCTTAGATATATATATATATATATATTTAATGTGACCATAGTGACTTAAACACATTTATTATTTCAAATTGGTATGTTAAATATCCATAAACATGTTAAACATACTGTGATAAGCATGTACTTAACCTTTGGTCATAATTTGTAAACATGGCTATTGAGCAGTGAGTAAAGTGTTAAGTATTCATTTATAAAATATTTGTTCAGAAATCTGTGTTTACATGATTTGAAGGTTTATCCTGTGATATTTTGTATCCTGTATATGTTGTACTTATATGATTCTTAAGAAAACAAGATTTATTCCCTAAATCTTACCAATTTCTTATGTTTCCTTTAACTATTAAATCAGTTTCTCTTTAATAATTGTTCCATTGAATTATATGTTTATTCTATTGAAACTGTTTTATTGAATTTTGTATATTACTGAATTGGTTTAAATCATCTTTAATTATCTATTCCAGTCTTCCAAAAATATGTCTTATTTTAATATTTTTCGTGCACTTTAATAGAATCTTTAAATTACAAGAAGATATTAAAATTTTTATTAAAAATTCAATTCTCTGGCAAATTTTAAGTTACAAAGAATATATTTTTAGATACTTACAATATTCATAAGTGCTCCTATCGGTATATTTTTCATCACTAATTCACAAGATTTTTTTCTCCTATCTTTTATGACCTTTTAACTATTAGTATTTGTTTTTGCACTTTTAATACTATGTCTCTCCTTCTTCCATGTTTTTAATGTTTCATAAAAAGATGGATTTGACTGTACCTGATGAACACGATAATGGTAATTAAAAGAGAATTGCTACATATTCTGAAATCTACAGTACTTAGTTGTCTAGCTTGGTATTTTGCTAGTATTTTACAGTACTGATAATCAGTTGTTATATCCAAACAAGAGCAACATATAATCTATCTACCATGACTTGGCAGTGATTAAGGTTTTAAATCAAACAAGCCTCCTTCGGGGCTTGTTTGACAACCGGGGTCATGCAGAAACAGTCGTTCCTCTTCAGCCCCAATGCGAAATTAAGGTTTAGTCCTGCTGGGGAATGAAAGATATTAAGAGCTGCCCGGATGGTATGATACATACTGATGGTTAAACTAATTACTGATTATTTGATATCATATAAGGTGACAGGAATCAATCAATTAATAACTAACTTAGGTGGGTGGAGCTAGATGGCTGATGCAGCATTTTGGGAAAGGTCGTGACTTTTTATTAAATAAACATAACCTCCGTCCACCTTCTGTTGCAGAGGTAACAAACACTGATTGTATGAGCTGTTCACGGATGGACCACAAAGTGTGCAACATATAACCTGTTGAATGTTTTTAAAATAAGGTGTATTTTGCTCCAAGTATTTAATGAATGTCTCGGATATTAAAAATATTGATTACTTTTAAGTTTTTGTATTGTATATATTGTATAGTTTCCTTTTTGAAAACTGTAAAAACTACATGCTCAATACTCTTGTAAAATATGAAGTAATAATCAACTGATACAGTATCTGTATGACTCGTGTTTTTTGTTTACAATTATTTATACCAAACTATCTGGTAAACATTTTATTAAATATTATCATTGGTCAGGGGAGATTTAATTCGTGTTAAACGGGTGAATATAACTACATGTTCAAAAACACAAAGATTTTGAAAATGTTTTATTGGATGTAATGAAACCACAATAATGATTGTATATGTTTTTAGACAGAATTGTCTGTAATAAATAAATTGTTTTCGTGGTGCAGAATAAGTTCTTTTTTTTTCTCTTTCACATTTACATTCTACTATTACCCATTGTCTAAACGCTTTCTTATTGGAATCCATAAAATAAATTGAGTTACGTTTACCTGTACAAGCTAAGAGAAAATAGAATCTCTTTAACAGCTACCTTTAACGAACAGAGAACCTATTGATCTTCATTTGTGTTGATTTTATATATTTAAAGACAACATGATTTTTATTGTCCAGTAGAGAGCCGGGTTCGAACCTATGCAATGCCACATAATATTCTCTGCACTTTAAGCTATGGGTGCGTTATAAAAGTGACAATCAGTCCCTTAGCATGGACGGCAGGATGCTGCAGAGTAGCCACCTTCCATCTAGTCAGTTATTGTAAAATAGGGACGTTAACATATAATAGTTAGTAGTTTTGCCAGAAATACAAACGATTTATATTTTCCCGTATTATTATTCATACGGTAAATATTGGTTGAAATGTACCATAAACAGTAAGTTTGACGAAATCTTCTAATGAGTATTTTGAATAAAGAAATAGAAAAGCTGTAATTTCATATCTTTATTTATTCATTGATTTTAATACTGATAAGTCTTGATAGATTAGATTAGTGGTTAATTTTGAACCGGACAAGAACGGTGGTTTTAGTATTCAAAGATCACGTAACCGACGCGATTTTGATTTATCACCGTACAGTGTAACTGGAAAAAATTTTAAATTACCACTTGCTTTGTTTTTATTTCAATATTTTGCACATATAAGTGTGCGAATAGTTTCTCCGTACGACACGCGCTCGCTTTACTTCAGGTATATGTAACAGTATTAGAATTAAATGCAACGTAAAAAAGTAAAATTTATACAGCAAGTGTTGTCTGTCTGGTAGCGTAGAATTCCGTCGAAACAACGTGACCTCTTTTTTTTAATAAATCTTACTTACTGTGATACTTATAAAGGTTTGAGAACTTTAACGGACTGGAACTATCTGTTGAGTGAAATGAGGACAACGTTTCGGCTTCTATACTGAGGCCTTCTTCAGACGACTATTAAACGTATTTTAAAGATTACTTATATCAACGACGTTAACCGTTTCGAAAATTCTCATTGTGATACCATTGTTTAAAATAGCTTGGTTTAGTTGTTTTGAATTCCGCGCAAAGCTAATTTAGCAGTGAAAGACAAGAGGGGAGGCAGCTAGTCATCACCACCCACCGCCAATTCTTGGGATACTCTTTTACCAACGAATAGTGGGATTGATCGTCACGTTATAATGCCCCACCCTCAGATTGCGAGTCAAGCGTCCTAACCACCTGACCATGCCGGGCCAAAATAGCTTACTAAGAGAGAGATAATAATATCGAATCAATAATTATGTAACAATACAGTTTAATTTCAAGCTAGAAAATAGCTTAATTTTTAACTTCTTACTCCGACACAAATAATTAAATTGGTTTCAGTTATCGTCGTAATATTTTTAGTACCAACTGTATAGTAAATTTTGCCTCCTGTACATTTAGAACTTTCTGTTGAGTATCTTGAACATCATTTCTGGTTGTGTTCTTCCTTCTTAGTTGATCCAAGATGCGATACACGAGATTAAAATGCAGGGAGATACTGCTGATTTAACAGGTTTTTTTATCACATGTTTAAACGATTTTTTTTTGTCCGAATTGACATAACATGGCCAGGTGGTTTGGGCGCTCAACTCGTAATCTTCAATCCCCGTCCCACCAAATATGCTCGCCCTTTCAGCCGTTGGGGCGTTATAATGTAACGGTCAATCTTAGTATTCGTTGGTAAAAGAGGAAGCCCAAGAGTTGGCGGTGGGTGGTGATGACTAGCTGTCTTCCCTTTAGTCTTTTATTGCTAAATTAGTGACGGCTAGCGCAGATAGTCTTTATCTAGCTTTGCGCGAAATTCAAAACAAACAAATTGTTCGAATTTCGTGATAAAGTTTATGTTTTGTTTGTTTTAAAACAAATCTACCGCGGGGAAACGAACTCTGGATTTTAGCGTTGTAAGTGCGTAAGATTACTTACTGTTCTTAACGAAACTATTGAGGGTATATCTACGGATATTTAGGCATGTAGTTCTATTTTTAAGCAATTTCGGCTGTTTTGCAAGAAAAATAGTTTGATATGGGGAAATTGTAGACATTTTACTACGTATACACAGCGTGGTCACAAGTAAATAGACACCACCTTTTCAGAAAAACATTAAATTTTTCAGTCATATTC